CTTTTTGCATCGAGGAGGCCTCGTGCATCCTGGGGGGTTTAGGGATTAGAGTAGGATTTGGGCCATAGTTCCTGTGATCCAAGGGGGACCACTTCGGAAGCGTATATACCTAGACCCTCCTTCTACCCTCTATTATACCCGAAATTGCCAATCGTAGGGACCATATGAACCTCTATCTAAGGCACAAGACAAGGAGGCTCCTGAAATGCAAGACCACTCCCGCTACTACATTTCGTACGTGGTTTCATACATTATCAACCCTAAGCCCAGCACCCTGTGACCGTGTCATATAGTGTAAGGCGTTGAAACTCTAAACTCCAAACCCTAAACCCTTTTTCGTGGCTGGCCCTCACGAACCCGTCTGACACCAAGTGAACCCTGATCTCATGGTCCGGTGTCCTCTCAAACCCATCCCACAAGGACTTCAGTTCCTATCAGGAGCCTTCATGTATCCTTATAATTAAAGGGGTATATGGCCCCTTTTAGCGGCTATCTAAGGTAAAATCTAATACAAAAAATGTCTAGGTAGATATGTGCTGGGAGAAGACTGCCGAATGTCGTATGCGTACGCTGATGGGCATCGATGCCGTAACTCCCCGAAAAAGTCTTGCACCCTAAATCCTAAACCCTAAACCGCATCTTGACTTTTCGGAAGTTGAGACCAGGGCTCTGGTGGTATCTACAGCCTGTGACGTTGGCCAGGCAAGACGTTAACGGCTTGGAGCACATCCAACGTGGCACGGAGGACTCCTACTACGGGTTAACCCTTAGGTACCTAGAATAGGAGTATAAGGGAATCCCAAAGGGATAAGGCCTTAAGATCCAAGCTAAGTCCCAAGGAGATCCCAACAAGAATCAGGGTATCCCAGTCATGATGGAAGTCAGCAGCATCGCAAACGTAATGGCAGGAATAATGGTGAAGCTAGAGCATATAGCGCCCAAAAAGGGCTGTAATGATCACCTTGAATGACCTACTAACGTCTGCGTTTGCCTTACGTAGCCCTTTTTGAGCACGGGCTGAGGGCCATGCCGGCTGAACCTCCAAGCAGGGACTTAACCAGTCATCTTGACTCGTGGTATGCAACCGGAGGCACATACTGGGAACCAGAACTACTACGAAGGTACATAAGAATAAGTTCTGAATACTGCAAATCCTCGAGAAGTTCGAACTGTACAGAACGCCGAGAATTGACCCAGAATGGGTGCTGTAGCAAAGGAACGAAAGAAGTCACAACAGGTTGATCCCGCAGGCTCATAAAGATTTGTACGCCGAAAGCAGCTGTACTCATAAGAACATGCTGCAGCGTGTCACGCCAAACCCCTGCATGCGGAAGTGAAGTAGACGCAGATATACTCTGCCAGCCCTTCTCAGTATCCAGATAGCTGAGCCGCCAACCATCCTCTAGAGGAATAGCGGCTACAGGTAAATACCAAGCCACTGTCAACGCAAAGCATCTACGCATAGAAGGCCAAACATGACAATGCATACGTCTGTATTGCGCATCAGAATATCCCACCACTTGATGTCCAAGCTCAAGCCACAAGTCTCGGTTAGCAGCAGCCTCCAGCAACATGACAACATCTGGGAGCTGTGGCAAAGAACGCAGGCGCTAGAACATGCATCGTACCCAAACTATGTCTGTACTCCACGGAGAACTTACGGCCTGAGAACCAGCGCAAGCCAGTATAGATGGCAACTAAACCGAGTCTGCACCTTTTCTGAGAAAATGTCGTACGTAATTCCACTTACAAAAAACCCCGGAAGACGCCCGGCGCCACTACCTGTCTGACATGAGTGCAAGTCGTATGGAGCGCTTGCGGACTAAGTTGAGACCCACCGCCATACCGTGATTCAACTCTGGAGGTATGCACAGTTTCAAGGCCCATGTCATGTACATAGCTTGCCAAATGTCAACTTGCTCAACATGCTGCACAAGAAGGTATATCACCGGCATGAACCAGAGAAATGTTGAAGCCACATACGTACGCATGAGCCGAAGCACAACACAAACTGAGTGCCAACTGGGCCTGCAAACGAAAGGGCGCATGGCCTGCCAAGCTCCATGAAAGCACTGATGAGCCTGACCCAGTAGGATACCTTCTGAGTCGGTATGTGCGAGATTTTTGACGCAAGTACTTAAGCGAGGTATCCCACTACAATTTACGAAGAACGCTGTGAGCAGGCAAAACTGACTTGCCCTGCTCCAAGCTTTCTGCTGATGACATAAGTTTCGTTTTGTCATAATAAATCCTGAGACCAAGGCCCTCCAGCGTGGACTGCATTTTCTCAAACTGCCTGGTAGCTTCTTGCCAGGTTGGGAGGCGAAGGAGTACTTCATCGACGTATACTATACCATACGTGGCATGCATGGCGGGCGTGTACTTCAAACCCCACTGTGTAAACCGCCTCTGTATGGATCTCGCAAGAACACAGATGAAAATGAAACTGCTGTGGCAACCACACTGCTGCACCCCTGTACGCTGTTGTATGTCCCAAGACTCTGTGAGAATTAGAATGCAGTATCATCTGGTACATTCACACAGCCTCCCAACGGCGTTCACCGTCCACCTCTTCCTGCAAGAACGATGCTATGCACTCGTGCTTGAAGCTGTCAAATGCGGCTGAGACATCCAAACCAATCCAGATGGAATACTTGCGCTCCTTGTCTTCCCGGTCAACCCAAGAGCAAGCTGTTGTGAGTGCATCCAGGGTCTGGTGACCATGTCTACCCGCAAACTGACTGGTTTGGCAGAGCTGTATGAGGCCTTTTGGTCACAAGCATTGAAAACGGCCATAAACAACTTACTCACACTTTCAAGCAAATTGATTGGGCGAAATCATCGGGTATGGTCCTGTGGTCAACAAAGAGTTAAGGTGACTAGCCAGGAGCCGCAAGCCACCATCCAGCTGCACGAGCGCACGAAGGAACTCTGTTGAGACTCCGCTGATGCCACTCGTTTTTCTTACCTTAAGGTTCTGAATCGCAGACAAGACTTCATCCATGTTTTTGCGCAGCGTCGTGCAGTTTGGACTGCCATTCGATAGCGCCTGCTCGAGTGGCATCGCTTGCTCCAAAAAGCTGCTGCATCCTGTCTTTGACCGATGCTGCTGCGTTGTCCGGCACACCCTGGCTGTCAATGAGAGGCTGGTAAGAAGCTTTCGGTTGCCCCCCTTGCTTAAGGTATGTAATGGCAGCTGAATCCCCACGTGCTGCGCTCTCCATAGTGTCACTGAGCCAGGCCCGCCGAGCATTGCGTCTGGCTTGCAAAATACTACGGCAAAAAGTCCGTGTTCTCCAGCATCTGTGCATTGTCTTCGCGCTGCACAAAAATCTTTGATACTCTCTGGATCACGATGCTTGAGCGATGGCCTTCTCGTAGCACATGACTGTCAATACTGTTGTAGTATCTCCCATCGTGTTTGCGTGTTCTGTTGTTCAAACCATACAGTATTCACATCCCAGATATCCAGAAGCTCCTTTTGTATAATCCGTTTACTGCATTTGCTCCTCTTCTGTGGACGTGGGTTGCGTCGGAAGACGACTCGAGAAAAAAACATCTGTAGAACAACCAAATCATGGTCACAACCAAGTCCCCAGCTGCATTGATGCTAGAACGAAGCTATGCCGACCCAACTGTTTCTCTGCCGGCGCGCAGCTTAGATTGACATAAAGTAGTCCAGCTATGTCCAGCTGTTTATGAGTAAAACGACCATGCCATGTACTGCCGTCTGTGTGAAACCTCTGCAACTGCGCAGATGTGAGCATAGCTTCCACTGCTGGAGCTCTGACATCATGCGGGTAAGTATGATCAGCATTCCAATAGACACCCACTGTGACAGGCAAATCCTTCCAGCACCGCAGAAACTGCTCCAAGTCCAACAACCCAGCCTCATAGCATTGTTGTGGATTGTGCTGGTGAGGCATATGCCATACAACTACCAATGCCGGCGCAACCACGCCGTCTTCAAGTGGTCGCCGAGGGGGATAGTTGGCAGATCCTCTTTTGCTTCATCCTTTAGCAGATCGGACGAGTGAACGATGGACTTCTCGCCGGGCTCGTGTCGTGCTGACATCGACTTGGCGGCTTCTGCAAGGACGGCTGCCATGGCGCGTCGGATACAAAGAGTAGGAGCGAAAGTTGCAACCCACAAAGTGATCTCGGCCGCAATCGTTGCTTGAGCCAAAATGGCTACGCAGCTCTAGACCCACCCCAGGGACCCAAGTATACAAATTATACCTACATTGAGCCGCAAAGTCTGCAAATATTACCTGCATTGGGCTATTTGGATGCCTAACCCTAGTTATGGCAACCCCAGTCATGGGACAGTCTCCATTCGACACTGGGCTATCCGGGATAGGCAACAAATTCTACACTTCCCTAATTTCTGGAATTTGGTAGTTCCCCCAAGCAGGGGGACCCCAATGTAGACTCCAATATACTACGATCCTTATTATGGGACCTCCAAAATGGCACCCACAATTCTAGGACACCCCATTAAAAGTTCGAGTTAGAGCCCGCCATCGTGCCCTACCCCGTGACGGCCCAAGCTAAAGAGCAAAGCATATTGAGCCGTGGTCATCTTCGGCGTGCAGCCTGGGATGTCAAGCAGTGCAAGTCAATGAAATACACATAAAACAGTTCATGCAAGTCACAAACAAGCCGGCCTGAGGCATGGAACCCTGCAAATCAGCCCTCTATAGAAACCAAAGGAGCATTTCAACGACTTGGGTTCTCGCTCTTTACCATTCCAAAAAGCTCAGGAAGGGAATGCCACCACTTTGGGAAGGCCTACAGCCAGAAATCTACTGCGGCCCTGAACGCTAAATTCTACGGCCTGAACCTGAACTCCAGAGTCAGGAGGGTTTAGGGTCAGAGTTTAGGGCTTCGGGCTTGGGGTTTCAGACTCAGGGTTTAGGGTCAAGACCCCAAAAATGGAGAAATCCGTAAAAACCAAGGGTCCAATGCTAAGGCAGACCATCGGCTCGGGCGTCGTGCAGCTAGAGCTCCTCCTCGTGGGTCCATTTAAAGAGGTTCTAGAGGGATACATAGGGATACATGGGGACTATATAAGGGTCCAAGGACCCAACTAAGAGGGTTTTAGGGCCCAAATACCCTTAATGTTATAGTACTTGAGCCCTAAAGCCCTATTGTTTGGGTCCTTGGACCCTTGGGACCACATCAAAACCAGAAGCCTCCTCGTGCCCTTAAATACATGGGCATATGAACTGTAGTCTAAATTCCTGAAAGGTGGGTTTATGTTATGGGGGATTATATAAGGGACCATTATGGGGGGATACTAGGAATTTAGACTAAAGCTCATACGGTCCCCAGTGGTGGGTATCTAGGCTATCATAGCGGGATTTAGTGGCTATAAGGAGGGTCTAGGAATAGAAGCCCTGACACCCAGAGCATCTCCGCAACGCCGTTTCGAACCTCACAGATCTTTTAGAGAATCTTACTGGCTTTTTGTGGAGAGGCCACCAGATTGAGAAAAGGGTCAGTAGGTCATTATGTAGCTGCTAGAAATTAGGTCCTCCCTATATGCCCACTTCGAGTCCTATGATACTTTTCTGACGACCCTCAAAAGGGACCCCCAGATTTTTAAGCCCCTTGGCCCAATGGTCCTGCGCGGCTTCGTCGCCTTTGTCATCTGGTGGCTCGCCGGTCTCTTTCTGCTGGCTTTGCAATCTTACCTTGTTCACCTGAGGCGGAAGCGCGGGCTTTTGTTTTGGCGGTTAGGGTTTAGAGCTCGGGGTTCAAGGCTTCAAGTTCAACAAATGAAACTGGGTATAGCAGTTGAATGGGCTACGGATCTCCTCAAGTAGATGGGTTGGAGGTGCGCTGCTGTCCATATACAATCAAATCTGGCTAGAAGAGCCCGAGACATGGTGGCTATGATTCTGGAACGCCCTCAACCAGGACCCTCCTAGTACCCTTGAATTGGGTATGTGGTCCCTCATAATTAGTGGGTATTTAGGGCAGATAGACAGTATAAGGGGGATCTAGGAAAATTATCTTACAACACTTTGCAACAAGAAAAGCTTGTAGGATTCAAGGCGATGTTCCACTTCCTCTAAATTCGCAGGCCCGAAGTATCGAGTCATAGTCCAAGACCGGCGCATTCCTTAGCATGCACATCACCACGGAAGGGCAGCAAATGCTTCTAAGGAGGTTTTCTCCCAACTCTATACCCTAAGCCCAGGATCCAATATACCACGAGATCCCTGTATCCTTAAATGAGCTATAGTCCAAACTCTTTAAAGGGCATTCTATAGGGGATTATATAGGGGAGTGTAATTAAATTACAGGGGTTATTACGGGGGATACTAGGAGTTTAGACTTGAGCTCAAACGGGGGCACGGGGTCCGTGATAGTGGGTATTTAGGGTAAAAAGACGATAGAAGGAAGGTCTAGGTAACATTGCGTTGAACCGTAAACGCAACGCAACGAGTAACAAACAAGCGAAGAAATCTGGTTAACAGTTCTCTCTCCCTTCAGGAATCACCGGAACCATGGATTTAGCAGCACCCTCTCGACCCCAAACCCTTTTGGATCTAGGGTTTGGGACTTAGCATAGTTTAGGGCGTGAAGTCTACAGCTGGGGGGCTTAGAGTTCAGGATTTAGGGTTCCCAGAAGCCGTGTGTGTTTAATTTGAGCAGCAGCAGCAGCAACGCTGTGGATCTGAATCCTAGAATTAGAAACTTGAAGCTTGTAGCCTTGAATCTTGTACCCCTGGGTGTGGGTCCTGAATACCATGGTTAAGAGCTTGTTCCATGGTGTAGGGATCCAAAACCAAGAGTACAAACCCTGAAGATGATAGATTTGTTCAGATGCATTCTTGCTCCTGCATGACCTGGCAGATACTCTGAGTCCCGAGTGACTCAGAGTATTCGCGAAAAGAGAGCGCTATACCTAGATAAGAACATTATTAGCCATGCCTCTTATAAGTTGGTTTACAATGACCTACAATTACATGCTGATGGCCTAAGCCGGAACAAGTTGAGACATCTTGAACAGGCATACCCCCAAACCCTGAACCCTGGACCCGACACCCCAACCTCGAAGGATTCCCAAAGTAGGAACCCACCAAACAGGTACACCACTTCTTTGGAAATGTGATCGACGCAGTTTAGGGTTTAGGGATCTGAAGGTGCACCCACGGCTCACCCTAAGGCCCCTATTCAGGCCAGCAAATACTTTGGGTCATTCTCCCTTACAATAACTATCCCTAACACAGTCTTATTAAGAGGCCAGTATAACTCCTATTGTGGCAACAGTTACTGTAAGGGGGAATGACCTAACTAATACGATGACTAGTGCTACTAGTTAATGCTGCTAGCTCCACATTAATTAGGAACGAGACCGGCACTTACACAACCCCGTCGACAATAATAGCTACACCCACAACTCTAACAATCCCGGAAAATAGTGCTTGGGGATGTTGATTTTCAAGTAGAATAATTGCTTCACAAACTGATTCTTCTGAAGACAGCATTGTAGCATTATTCAAGGCCCCCCTCCGAAAAGAGATAGATCAAGCACGGGAGGGAGGAGGGCGAGCTATCAATGCGGAGTTAGCATTAGTACTAGCACTAGAACCAATAGAGTAATGACATTGAGGCGTGTAGCCCCAATGGCTTTTAACTCTTCTGCTGAGTCACGAGCTTCTAAGAGACGCATGATCGCCTCCCAGCCGCGAAGGGGATGATAGAGGTTTGGGGTTTCGGGTTTAAAGTTTAGGGTTCTGATTTAGGGTTTAGAGTTTACGCTTAGGCATAAAAGTTAAGAGTTGAGCCCTCCGAGGTCAATGTCGGCTCTTATACACGTGATTACGCCTGCTACAAGCTGCTATTTGGGCACTTGAACCCTTAGGGTTGGACTTGGGGCAGAGAAACTCAAATGCTAGGAGCCCAACATCATGAGATCCTTCTTTCTACCTACTACCAGGACCCTCCTAGTGTCCTTCAATTGGGGTATACGGTACCTAATAGTCGTGGGTATTTGGGGCATATTATGGAGGGTAGAAGTATACTGTAACTTACAAATTCTGCACAGTTCGGGCTTCTAGGCTGATTAATTCTGGCAACTGCTATGGATACTAACTACAGCTATAAGTTCCCCGAACCCGTTTTTTGTTATTACAATTGCAGCTGGTTATTAGGGTTAAAGCTTGAGCCCTAAGCCCTAAAGGGCAAGACCACACATCGCTTGGTTTTGCGCTTTTTGCAAGCCCGTACATCTAGGATCCGGGCAAACCGCACTACAAAGCAATCTTAGTGCTACATGGCAGACCAACTAGCATACGCCTTCATTGTCCTCAAAATTCTTCATGATCAGCTTCCTTTGTCCTTCGTAAATGGTGGGAAGGAGACGAAGCACAGATTTCCACCCAGTGAACGACGCACCAGCAAGTTGGCAGCCGCTCCTGTCTGTACGGTACCCCCAGAGAAGCAAGGGAAGAACATGTCGCTTTGATTTTTCTGTGGATGAGACATCCAAACACGCACAAAGATCACGGGAAAGAACGCACCCTAAACTCTAATGATGCTTCAAGAGAAATCGGGCGTTACGACTCTGAGCCTCGTAGGCGTTCTCTCTGTCCAGCTCTGGGCAGATAGTGTAGAGCTCGTCTTTGGATTTGTCCTGAAGATGCAGGGAATGTCTAGACTCTAGACATTGAGAGGTTAGGGCCAAAGGTGGAGGGTATGTACTATAGGAGCCTAATTCATTACCCCCTTGAAGGTCGAGGTTGCGGATGCAGGCAATGTCCTGGGTTGCTGTTCAGGAACTTAGAGGAAACTCAGTATTTACTACATAACATAACCACGCTATGACAACTCAACTGGACATTGGAGGCTTAGGGCCCAGGGTTGAGGGTATATGCTACGGGGGCCACCCGTATCATGCTGAGGCCTAATTGTGGTACCCTATCGGTTCATTCCACAAGGAACCTAGGACCAGAAAAGTGTTAATTCAGGGAATCTTTGCCCATTGGCCCAGGTGATTCCTGGTGAATTTTCGTACACGGACCTGAATTATGATGTTGGTGGCCCTAAATCCTAAACTCCTAAACCCTGAGCCCTACATGTCCAGAACCATCATGCTTTCACAACCAACTGAGAGTCGACCTGCACTTCGTGCAGTAGAGATGGGTAGACATACCAGCAGCGCCACTCGCGGGCCCGAGTCATGTACTCCTCAAGGATGTCCTCTGAGAGAGACCTCGATTGCATGATGTAGCACGACGGAGGGCATGCCTGAATCATCCTTTGCAGAGGGCCACCTGCAATATCCTCCCCCAAATAATTGGTAAACCACTCTCCGCACGAATAATACATACCCTCCATATCATGCCGTGACGTATATATGTTAGGGGCAATGTTGTTCTTATTAGGGGATGGGTATTCATGGTTAAGGGTTGGTAATTAGTTGACGGTTCATGAGGTTACTCCTACTTGGAGGGTCAGGGGGACTTCGTAAGTAGCGTTTAATACTCCCTATAATTCATTTAGTAACCCTAGCTACCGCCCCTATTAACCTACTTACGAAGTCCCCCTGAACCTCCAAGTACTCCTATTTTGAGGAATCACCATCCTATCCCTGTTTTGCTGCGTAGCGGCTCCAGGTAGTCCATGAGCCCATCTCCAACCAACTCCATAGGCCTCGGACTGTTTAGGTTTAGGGTTCAGGATTTAGGGTTTGGGCTTTAGGGTTTGCCTGGGGTTTAGGATTCAGAGTTTAGAGCTTGGGGTTTCGGATGGCACAGGGGTGCAACGTTGAAATGTAGGGTTCATGGTGAAATGAATGAACTCCCCATGCCAAATATTTTTCCATGTTCTATCATGGTACTGCTTTGGACATACGGATTAGTAGAGGTTGACTTGGATCCTTGTAGGTCTGGGACTAATTCAATATTCGAGATTGAAGGGCTTGGTGGGAGGCAAAGGGTCTGATGGACAGGACAATGCATGAGGTAATTGCTTCCACTAAACATCCTAAACTCTAAATAGTCGTTTCAATTTAGGGTTTAGGGTTTAGGATTTCATTTTCCATTTGATTCTCCGTCATTGAGGCTTCACTAAAGAGTAGAAAGCCCTGGCTTCAACAGTCGTGAGGTACAGGGTTTAGGGTTTAGGGTGCAGGGTTTAGGGTTTAGGGTTTACACTTCTGCATGCACTCAATACCTGGATATGCACACCCAACGGGATTCTAGTCTGCAATTCGAATCACGCCGGATCCTTGTTGACGCGCAAAGAAGCTCTTAATTGAGGCTTTATGGCCCCGAATAGCGGGTACTCAGGCCGAAATAGAGGGTAGTTGAAGGGTCTAGGAATACTAGATCCAGCTTATTGAGGTCTTGTAGCGAGTAAAGGACTATGTTATATGGGGGCTGTACAATGCGTATATTCCCTAAAATCTCATACCCCCCTAACCCTAAACCCTTTGGAGGGTCTAAGAACAGGCCATGGGCCACTTGATCACGAAGGAGGGCAAGTCCACGAAAGCCTGGCGGTTTAGGGTTGAGGGTGCAGAGTTGTGAATCGCAGCATGGGACAGTCGTATTCCCTTTTCATAGCCGGCCATAATCCTTCAGATGGCCCCCATATATGCCCTCGCCTCCCTGCAAAATGCAGAAGTCCCTATGACAGTTCCGATGTTCAAAACTCGGTGCCGTGGTCGGTGTGCCTCGTCTTTTGCTTTCCCTTCGGGCTAGTCTGTACTAGTTTTGCTGCAACTATTCCAGCGCAGCCTTCTTAGCTAAGCAGCTGTGATGCTGGAAGGACCTAGCCACGCATTCGATGACCTAACTTACATGGTGCTGGGTAGGGAGGCCATCGAAGCCCATATTGATCCCTATATGGTAATGTCCATAAACAAGGAGCCCCGAAATACAACCCAATGTCCTCATGTCCGAAACCCTTTTTGCATACCCTAAACCCTATAGCCCCAATATAACTCATTTGCATTTTCCACTTGATTTTGAGTGACCTACTGTATATTTCCCTAAATGAGTTATAGTCTCACCTCCTAGCATCGACCTTAATAAGCCCTACAAGCGAAAAAACAAAATGTGATCCGTTATATAAGCCCCTTTAAGGAGTTTCAACCTAACCCTAAACCCGATATACTCCCAATATAGCCTCCCCTTAAGGAGTTTGGACCCTAAATCCTAAACCCTATATGACCCCCTTCAAGGAGTTTAGACTATAGCTTGTATAGTCCCGTATTGAGGGTTCAACCCCCGGGTGCGGGTTCAGGGTTTCGGGCTGTTGCAGGGTTTAGAGTTTTAGGGTTCTAGGGCTGTTCCAGGGTTTAGGTGTTCTTACAACCCTTCGGACTTTTGAGGGGGTTTAGGGCTCAGGGTTTAGGGTTTGGGCCTGTTCCGCCCCACAAGGGTGCGTTTTGACACTGGCTTGTCATCCGAGTAGCGTTTCTTCGCTGGCTGAGCCAAGTAAGACTATACTCTGAATATAGAACCTTATGGGGATGTAATCTTTCTCTATGCTGGGTACCCCAACTAGAATACTATTCATTCTTTCAGCTACGGCTGCACGGGGAAAGTGAGGGCAAAAGGGCACTGGCTTAAATCGAGAAAACAGTTCAAAATGAGAACAACCAAATCCTGTGTTACTTCTCAGCAGGGGGTTTTGGCCCTGGAAAGGAGCCCTAGTAATCCACATAAATCGTAAACTTGCAAAACGCCATGACTTAGCCCACATTACCCCGGGAAGAAAAAGGGATCCTTTTTTCATAAATAAACGCCATGACTTAGCCCACATTACCCCGGGAAGAAAAAGGGGTCCTTTTTTCATAAATACAAGGAATCCCATACCTCAAAAAAAATAAGGATCCCTAACATTGATCCAGATGAATTACAAAAAAAAACTTTTTCAAAATTCAGGCCCGTCTGGTTGCAGTCTAGGATCTGGAGCCGGGGTCTACAGGCTTTCGAGTTTAGGCTTTGGGTTGGGGTCTTATCTTTTTAGGGTTTAGGTTGGGGTCTACAAAGCCTAAACCCTAAAACTACCAAACCCCTTCCTCGCAGCTGTGGCCTCAAATGGCAGCTCCCAGAAGTCGGAAAGCACCACTGGGATGCAGTTTGCAAACCTTGGCCCAGTTTTAGGGTTTAGAGGTAGATAGATCCCCTCTGCGGACTGATGCACCTCCTTTCGTCCCTACATAATGAATGTACCCAGCCTAAAAGCAATGTCTAATTCGGTGCGAGCATTGGTCATTTGGGGGTTCTGCGACAAAAAAGTGGTTTGAGTTGTGTTGCTGCTTTTTATGGCATTGTTTCGCAAGGTTTCCAGGAACAGGATTCTGGGCCTGGGTTTAGGGTTTAAGATTGAGGGTTCCAAGTCAGCGCAACTCAAGTTAACAATCCATCCATCCCGCACATAGGACAGTCAGTGTCACGCGAAGAGAGAAGTCTGAACATCCTTCCGGGGAAGGGCTGCAAAATCAGTGCTGTTCTTCTACATGCCGGAGCTTTCACGCTGGCAAGTTTCGTGCCATGAGCCTTATAGGGTCTTTCCCGTGCTTAACAAGCAAACACCTCTGAGCCCAGAGGGAATTTCTCTACCTTTGAAGTGCAGATGCAAACATGAGGGTTTCCCCAAATAAGGGGACTCCACCAATTATGGACCTCAATATACTGTTCTCCTGATTATAGGGAGCCCCAATAAAGGTACCCTTAATTTTCAGAAACTCCCGAGCCCTTCCTGAAAACTTGCACCGCGAAACCCCAGACCCCGGCCAGCCGTAAGGGTCCAACATGAATACAGTACTTGGTGTGTTGGGTATGGTTTAGACAGGCGCATCGCACAGCAGTGGGTAGGGTTTAGGGCTTAGAGTTTGGGGTAGTAGTGATTGTAGTACGGGATCGGGGCAAGTATCTGATCATTGGGTAGGTACTTGGACCCTTAGGGATTTCTGTGTTGCATCAAGAGGCAGCGCTTCGAAGAAGCGCAGGGACCAGGCGGACTTGCCTTTAAGGGTATAAAGGTCTTGTCTTAGCCTTTTGTTAGGCTTCTAACACTTTGCCTGGCAGAAGCCGGACACAGGGCCGTGATGTCCGCTTCACTGGCTTGATCACATGAACAATAGTCTGAAGTCCTAGTATGCCCCTTAGTAACCCGTATAATACTCCCCCTATATGTTCCCCTATACAACCCCCTTGAAGGACTTTAGACTATAGCTCACATGCCCAGACCCTACGAAAAGCTTTCACGCGGTGTGCAATGCCCATGATAAAGGAAGGGGGCGCTCGCTGGCCATGCATGCGAGTGGACCGGAGGTGGCAGCAACACACATATGATCTGTAGCGATATTCTTGACAGTTGTGAAGTAAAAGGTGCTCCAACGGGGCACACAGGAATGCATGGGCCAGTTGAGGGTTGGGGATTCGAGTTTCCACTTTGAGGTTCAGGCAGCCTTGCTTCTTAAGGTTCAGGGCACGGGGACGGGTCGGGGTCGCCTTTTCTTTTGGTTAAAGCTAAAGGCAATCTAGATTTCCCCTTTGTCTCGGAAAGTCCGCAGCGTTGGCGGTCTTATCCATGAATTTGGTAAATCGACATGTAGAAATTCATCTCGGCATCCAAGGATTTCTTGGGGACCACGTAGCAGCGACAGGGGCGTGCGGTGTCCTGGGTCATGTGTTAGGTTATCAGAACTGATGGTCCATCTTCAGTACCCAAAATACCAAAATACTCGGCGGTAGTATGACGAGGGCAACAACAAAAACACCACAACCTACCATCTGGGCTTTGTCCGTCAACTGTATGATCCCTTATACAGGAGTCCTACATGATCCCATAGGCCTAAACCCCAAAAGCTCCAAACCCTGAAGCTCCAAACCCGAAACCCTTAACCCCCAACCCTCTACCTCAACCCCCAAACAGGCCAACTCAAGAAGCCTTTGGGGACGAAGCAGAACTTGGCAGTGCCCATCACGGCATGCATCTCAGGGAAACTCAGGTTTTGAGCCTCGGAGGCTTGATCTGAAACGCTGGGAATTCCATGGTATATATCAGCTATAATCTAAACGCCTTCAAGGGGGGCATGTAGAGGATTATATGGCGGAGTATACTAGAGCCTATTGAAGGGGGATACTAGGAGTTTAGACTTTAGCTCACATGGTTTAAGGTTTAACGGCATAGCCATAGGGTTTGGGGTGGTTTGGGGTGTAGGCCTACGAGATCATAGTATTGGATGATTCGAAC